TTTTCTTGTTTTTATGTATATTAGACTTGTTTAATTAGAATAACTCCTCCTATATTAGCGACGATCAATACCGCATCGGAATTGAAGGGAGCGGCCAGCCAAAAATTAAAGGACTCCCTACCTCACATATTGCGCGCTCCAATCTTCCATCGCAATCCTGCTATACGCGGCGGGTGCGGCGTGCGCGACGCCGTCTTCGGGGAAATGTTCCCGGACCCACGTCGAAGCACTTGACAAATGTCTCGCGACAACTCGCCCGGCGTTTTTTCGGGGTGCAGGTTTAGGCGACAGTTGATTATCTCAACGAGAAAAATTGGGATCGACAACAGCCCTGTATTTCTGGTGTGTTAATAGAAAGCACCTTAGCACCCTTACCTTACACCTATAGCCGCAACATCGTCAAGTGATGTGCTTAGCTTTCCTCTGTGAAAAATTAGTTTCGAAGTTCGCGTATGCGCTTTGTGTGTATTGTGAAGTTTTAGAAACATGAACGAACATATTGGGTGACAAAATACGGGAGACTACGTCGCGTATTTGATCGCTAACTTCTTGGTAATGGCTTGACTTCTTCAGGTATTTCATTCTGCCAAACTGATGCTATGTTTGGCCGACTAAATGGAGTGCTATTCGTACTGCTTCTATTTCTGACGTCATTCCTGGGATCAGTCTTCATGCTCTTCCCTCTTCTGCCGTTTGCTTATTATGGAACGAAGTTTTGGCGGATATGTGCAGATCGCCTAGTTGGATATTGGTTGACTTTCCCTGCGGTGAATTCGTTTTTTTTCTTTGGAAGCATCTTCATTTGATTGATTAGATCCTGTCATAGCAGGTGGCTATACCGTCAGGTGTCGCCAAATAGAACTTTCCATTCAGACCTGGCTTCAAATATGGCATTTCATAGTTCGAGAAATGGAGAAATCTGACGAAATACTGACTTGATCTTTTGTTAGCTGCTGTTTTAACGTCGCAGTGCGCGAAGCGAAAGTCTCACAAGGTTGGCGATTTGTGGGTAAAACTCCTGTCTCGGATGGGACTCGAACCCGTGCTTGACTGGAGTGTTGAGCACCGTCCCCGGAAAGGACAAGTACGGGTTCGAGTCTCGCCCGAGACTGGAGTTTTGCTCACAAATCGCCAACCTTGTGAGACTGACGAAAAACTGTTTTTTTTCAACGTTCCTATAAGCCTATTTACGTGTTTTTATAGTCGCTGGTGGAGCGGGTATTTGGTACGGCTTTCCACGTTACAGGAGACTTGATTCTACGTGACTACCCAGCTCTAATCGTAATGAATCACAGAACAAGGTTAGCTAATGAATCTAGTGGTTCTCAAATCAGGAAATACTGCTTTTTTTAAAGGTTGGACTGGTTGTTTTTATGGAATGTTTTGTACAAAATGGATCCTCACCTGCTCACCACAGAAAAAATTTCTTTGAAGGTATCCACGACTCCAAGTTTTTCTTTGGAGATTTTGTTGAATATTGCAAAAAATACTGAAGATGGTGCGCTACATCTAGGCTTCAGTCTTTACTTACTAAAATTAGGAGCTATCTGTTCTCCGTGTTGTTCTAATCCTATTAATGCGTGTGGTTTCCGGAATAAAGTGGGGCTGTTCATCTTTGTATAATTCACTGAAAGCTTTTGCTCCATGTGGATGGTTGTCATGTGGACATTCACCTTATACCATTATCCTGCAAATGTACCTACCCCTATACCGTAATGTATTTCGCCACTGTCAGCACTAAGAGCATCACTAATCTCTGCTGATAAATAAATAAACTTATATTGCTACTTTCATCGCCTGATATCGCACCAGCCTCTCCTTCACGGGTATGGATCCATACGTGCGTTCGAATATGCGCGGCGAAATTTGAGGCGATTCGAACGACTCTGACGCATGTTACCCTTTCTTTCTATATCCTCGTTCCCATATTCTTTTTTTCCCGGCAGTGATAGTCTCTGCTTAGCATTTCCACTAGGAAATTTTTTTAAAATGCTTTGCCGGTAGGGATAATCTTTACCTAGCATTTCAGTCAGCACTTGCTAACACATCCAACTGACTGCATTAATCGAAAGGAGACTTTCAGTGCAGCGCACCTAACAGAATGATTGTTCGAATTACTTAGACTGCATATATGTTTTAGGCACCCCTTAAAAGTATACCTGGTGCAGGATGGGCTATGGGCTGCGGGTCCTATATTTTTCTGGAGCGAAGTTTCGACTGTGACAAGGAAACAATGGCAGCATTTGTAAAATACTATAAGGATTCAGGAAACACCTATCAAGTATGTTGGGTTTCTCGAATACGATTGTTTATCGACTTTCTACTCCTTCTACCAATCGGATCGCCCGGCTAACGCGGGGCTCTTCTCATCCTCTAGATAAATTTGGTTCGTGACCTGCATTCTTCTGAACTTGGAAGCTCTGGTCCAACACACCGAATACTTCGTGCGCGCCCCGCCTGTCATGAGCAAAGACCTGCTCAAGTCCTGTGTTTATCCAAGCTGGTTCATTACCCCAATTATTCCAACTTGACTTCGTATCTATGCTCAGATTACGCTCATTTCACGCACGATCCACCCTTTCATCTCCCCTATATTGCCCGCGGGCGGGATCCGATTTGGTCACTTTCTATCTCATACCATCAGTGTGTCAATCCGCCGTCAGTGCCCCTAACAAATTCGATCCCTGTGGATCAACTTGAACACGAGTCATGAGTTTACCCTAAAACACTAATTCCCACCTATTGTGAGCAGAGTGCAACCCTGCCATCTACCATCAATGTTCTAATCCTGCTGCCTGCACTCCTGGCAAATCGAATGTTCTAGGTACATGGGAACGAATGTAATGAATCGGTTGGACACGTACACAAACACACAGACAAACCAACACACACCTTAGCGCATTAGATATAGTAGGATAATTTGGACTTGCGTATTATTCCAAGGAAAAACTTCTTTTGTCTGTCGTCTCACAATATTCATGTGTTTTTATCCCAAAGGAATCGAATAGCAGCCGATTTTCCTAAGAGGAAATACCTACATAACCTGATGCAAAGCTACATCGGCTGTCTTTATCTGCTAGAACTGGAAACACAAGTAAGGAACGAATTTTTTCGAAATCTCTGCATTGAGCCTTCGCTCTTGCATCAGTGTGATGCATCGATATTCGTTACCAAGGCATGGCTACATCATTTTACGAATAAGAACGAAGTGTTATTTAACCCATTGGCGACCGCTTGTCTATTGTTCTTACATCAACCTTTATTTTCTCTTATATCTGTAGTTAGAAATGAATGATTCCTGGACCGCAATGCTTCAAGACTCTCTAGAAGGCTGTGAGCTCAGCTGATACATGAAAAATTATATCAACGCTTGATATATAATATAAATACCCAGCGAACCAAAAACATGCGTCCTGCCATCGGGACGCATGGTCGCAACGTGTCAACCTTTCTTTATCATTCTATTAGGTTGATGCATAATTATTGCGGATTTTTTCGCGGCTTGTTTTCTCTCGATAGAATTCAAATAATGAGTCCGGGTTTTTTCTAGAAATGATCTACTTGATTTCTTCTACAAGAATATATTCAAGAAACCATCCCCATATTCGCAAAATTAGGCTTTACTACTTCGAGAAAGATCGGAAGGTGGCACAGTCATTCCGCGATCTCAGTAACTTTTCAGCGATCGTTCATTAGGTGATCTAATGAAAGTACACATGATTTCCTGGCGGTCAAACACGATTATTTTGATATTTTCTATTTCCCCTCCATTTTACC